TAACCACTACCTCTATCTAGTTACAAAACATTTGCATCACCCTAAAGGGAACCCTGTTCCCATTAAGCAGTCCTGACCCATCCCCTTCCTTCAACCCCTGGAACTGGAAGCCATCAATCTGTGTTCTGTCTCTATGGACCTACCTACTCTGAGGATTTCATATAAGTGGAATCACATACGTGTCTTTTGTATCTGACCTCTTTCACCTGGCACAGTGTTTCTTTAAAAAAAAAAAGATTTTATTTATTCATGAGAGACACACAGAGAGAGAGAGAGGCAGAGACACAGGCAGAGGGAGAAGCAGGCCCCACCCAGGGAGCTCAGTGTGGGACTCGATCCTGAGACTCTGGGATCTCGCCCTGGACTGAAGGCGGTGCTAAACTGCTGAGCCACCCAGGCTGCCTGGGCACAGTGTTTCTGAAGCTCACCAAATTGTCACGTGTAGCAGGCACTTTAGTCCTTTCTATGGCTGAATTATATTCCACTGTATGGAGAGACCACAGTTTGTTTTTCCATTCATCAATTGGTGGACATTGGGTTGTTTCCGCTTTTTGGCTTTTGTGAATGCTGTGAACACTTGTGTGCAAGTATCTGTTTGAATGCCTGTTTTCTATTCTTTTGGGTATATTCCGGGAGTGGAATTGATGGGTTGTATGCTAATTCTATGTTTAACTGTTGGAGGAACTGCCAAACTGTTTTCTGCAGCAGCTGCATCATTCTGCATGCCCTTGAGCAATCAAGAGAGTTCCAATCTCTCTCCATCCTCGTGAAGACTTATTGTTATTGTTATTGTTACAGCCATCCGAGTGAATGTGGAGTAGTATCTGTAGAGGCTGCTTTTAGGCCACAGGTTTCATTAGAAACCTGACTAAGGTGACAGGCCCCACTACAACCACGCAGCTGAATGCAAACAGGCTCATTAGGTGACCAACCTCAAGTTAGCCATAGGCCCAAGCTGACCAGTGGGCCACTGACAACCAGGCATAGGCACCAAAAAGGAAAATTCTATATGTTGCTATATGTCCTCACTCCCCTCCAATAAATACAGCCCCCCCCAAGCCTGTCACCGCCCTCCCCCTGCCCCCTGGCAGTCTCTCCTTTGCCGTCCTGCCCGCTGCTGCCTTGCAGCGTATCCAACAAACTTCTATCTTCCTTGTTCTGTCTTTGGTGAATTCTTTCCCTGCCCACACCACCAGCCTCCACCTGATTGAGTCACTGCACAGTATCTCATGTATTTTTTATTGCATTTCCCCGATGATTAATGATGTTGTGCATCTCTTCATGTGCTGTTGACCATCTGTATACCTTCTTTGGAGCTATATCTATTCAAATTCTTTGCCCATATTTTTAATTGGGTAAATCTAGTAACTTTTTTTTTTAAGCAGGTTCCACAACCCTGAGATCAAGAATTGGACTGAAATCAAGAATTGGAAGCTTAACCTACTGAGTCACTCAGGTGCCCTAAACTAGTAACTTTTTATTACATTCTGGATGCTGAAGATTTTGAATTTTGTGTAATAGAGTGCTGTTTGTGGTGTTTCCCTTTAAAGAGTGGTGAAGATTTTTGGCCAACAGTTAGGCTATATTTGTAGCATCTTGTTCCTTTTAAGGCTTGTTCTCTACACTCACGACGGGTGTGGAGTAGGTTTTGGTCTAGAGCCGGCTTAGTCACTTTATGGAGAAGTGACATGTCTGGAGTCTCTCCTGAATCTCTGGTGTCCAGTTTGGCTGCTTGGCACATTAAGACCTTCCTACTGAAGTGAAATTTGGAAATTTTCAGCAACACCATCCCCACCCCCTGCCACCAAGTTGTTCTTCCCATGGACTTCATGCCAGCAGGCTGGGTCCAAGGACCAGCCAGGAGGCTCCTTGGCTTCCTGCAGGCTAGAAATCAAACATGAGCCAGCAGGAAGTGAGAGCGGAGATTATTGAAGATACAGAGAGAGCAGATATAGACAGAGTGTCTGGGAGACTCCGAAAGGAAGGAAGCATAAGCCTAGTCTTTGGGGGAATGGGGTTTTTATTGAGGATGGTGGCCTGGTCTGGTGTACTTGCCCCCTCAGGCATCTGGGAACTGGTCAGGACAAAGATGAGAGCCCAGCTGTCATCTGTTGGATCCAGCAGGCCTTGGCATGGAGGGGTCCAGCGCTGGTGGTCTCCAATATGCATTTGATGGCTGGTCTGGTCATCCTCCGCTGGTCCTTCCTTAGATGCTTCTGGTCCCCAGTGTCCAGTGCTGTTCCAGGGGAAACACTAACTCCTTGCCCCTTACAAGGAACACGTACACTACTTGTATTCTGAGGCGTGCGTAGAATGTTTGTGAAGTGCCAGTTCTCATAAGAATTGAAGCAGGAAAAGGAGCAAAAAGGAGATTGTTGTGGAGTCCTTGAGTTTCCATGTCTCAGATGGTGGAAATTTTCTCCCACTCTTCCCTGACACAGGGCTGGCACTACTTGTCCAATCCACAAACACTTGTTTCACATATTTTGTCACGTTTTGCTGCTGTTTACTGGGGGAAGGCATGTCCAGCTCTGGACACTGGGGACCAGAAGAGCACGCTCTCCCGCCTCATTTCTTTCCCTTGTTCATTCTCCACGTCCTCCAACTTTATATTGAGATACAACCACATGGCATGATTTCAACAACTTAGAGGTATACACCCTTGAAAGCATCACCGCAATGTAACATTTCTGCTACCTCCGAACGTTCCCTGGACAGTCCCTCTCTCCCTGCGCTCCCGGGAGCCCGGGGGCCATCACTGAACCAGAGGAAGCACTGTCTACAGTTCTCTATGAATGGATTCATCCGGTGATTTGAGGAGGGGTCTGACTTGGCCAGCATCATGATCTTGCAGCCCATGTTGTGTGTGTCAGTAGTTTCTTTCCCTTTCTTGCTGAGCAATGCGCCATCGTACGCCTAGGCCACGTTTTATTTATCCATTTTCAAATGTTTCAATGTTGGAAGCAGGGACGCCCGGGTGGCTCAGTGGTGAGCATCTGCCTTCCGCTCAGCGCCTGACCCGGGGGTCCTGGGGTTGAGTCCTGCATTGGGCTCCCTGCATGGAACCTGCTTCTCCCTCTCTGCCTGTGTCTCTGCCTCTCTCTGCGTCTCTCATGAATAAATCCATAAAAATCTTACAAAAAAAAATTGGAAATATTTGGGTGGTTTCCAGTTCGGGGCTACTAGAGACAAAGCTGCTAGGAGCGTTCATGTATGACTCTTTGTGCGGACCTGTGTTCCCATTGCTTTTGGGGAACTCTCCAGGTGAAGAATGCCTGGCTCGTGGTACATCTATGATCAACAAACTGCGCAACTGTCTTCCAAAGAATGTACTTTACACTCTCACCAACCGTGTGTGCAAACTCCCGCCTCCTCCGGCCTGCCCTGGGAGCCCAGCCTCCAGCCCCCGGGGCGCCTCAGCATCCCCCAGCCCCGGCGTCCGCGCGGAGAGCGGCGGGGCCCCTGCCCCAGACTGCGGGGCCTTAGGAGGCCTGCTCCGAGCGCCGCGCTAACCGCCACCGCCACCTCGGAGTCACCCACAGTCTGGCTCCGGAGGCCTCGGAGCCGGGCGCCCAGGGGCGGGGTAGGAGTGGGCGGGGCGCCGCCGGGGCGGGGCCAGGCTACCGTGGGCGGGGCCGGGGTAGGAGTGGGCGGGGCGCCGCTGGGGGCGGGGCCAGGCTCGAGTGGGCGGGGCGCCACTGGGGCGAGGTGGAGGGGAGACACTCGGGGGCGGGGCGAGGGGTGGGGCTCGAGGTGCACCCTCCGCCCCACCCCGGCACCGCGCAAGCGCAACAGAGGGGGCAGTCTCCAAGGCAACCGGGTTCAACAGCTCCAGCGCTGCGGGCGTCTGGAGGCCCCAGAGCCCGGCCCAGGCATGTGCGCCGCGGAAGTGGACGACCACGTAGCCCAGCGATACCTGCTCAAGCGGCGGCTGGGGAAGGGGGTGAGCCCGGACACCTGCAGGGCGGGGGCAGGTCCAGTGCGAGGTCTGTTCGTTCCGACACTGCCGGGGGTCCACGGACTGGACGGTGGCCTTGGCCAAGCCACCGAGCCCCTCGGGCTTCCGTTTGCTGGAACAGCGTCCTAACAACGCCTATTCCGAGGGAGCCTCGCCTGGCTCTGGGCCCACAGCGGTCTCAGGCCGGAGGGACCCTGGACAGATCCCCTCCCCAGTCCTCACCCAGGGTCCCATACTCCCAGCTGGCTCTCCTGGTGCCTATAGGACACTCTAAGGAGGCCGGACCCACCCAGTCCAGTCGCTGAGGGTGATGGGTAGATCCTAAGCCTGGCCCAGGAAGAGCCTGGGCAGATAAACGGGCATGCAGTGACAGCCAGAACCGTGTGTGAGAGCATGTGGGATTGTGTCTAAGGGTGTATGAGAAGGTGTGTGACTGTGTGGGCGTGTAATGCGGGAGGAAGAAAGAACGTTCCAAACAGCACAGACAGCAAGTGCAAAGGCCCTGAGGCAAGGACCTGCTGGCTGTGGGGAAACATCAGAGTTGGTGTGACCTGGATAGGAGTGACTCGGGGGAGGGCTCTGATCACCTGTGGTTTTGGGAAACTGCAAGGGCTTTTACTGGGCAGCACACAGGGGTGGTAGCAGCCTTTGATGCCACTTTACAAGACTCACCCTGCCTCCTCCGTAGAGGCTCAGACCAGGTGGAGATGGTAGCAAGTGGTTGGATTCTGACAAATTCTGGAGCCAACAGGATCTGCTGACAGGCTGGATGGGGGATGTGAGAGGGGAGTGGTACCCAGAACAGGCTTTATCTCCCACCCAGAATCTCCCATCTGTGACCTTGCTTCCCACCATCCTCCTCCACCGGGGAAGACACTGGGGTTGTCTTCAGCTACAGGGACCTCCCCCAGAGCCACAGGCCCTCACCACGCCCTCATTCCCTCCCAGGAGCCAGAGCAGGTGGGAGGCACAGTCTGGTATGTAGGGGAAGGCCAGGCTGGAGGCTGGCCCTGGCCCAACAAGCTGATCACCCTCCTCGCAGGCCTATGGCATTGTGTGGAAGGCGGTGGATAGGAAGACTGGAGAGGTCGTGGCCATCAAGAAAATCTTCGATGCCTTTAGAGACAAGACAGATGCCCAGGTAAGTGAGTGGGGAAGAGGTGTGGGAGGGACAGGGGCAGGAGTGTGGGGGTGACTCCCTGCTGCCGTGGTGCCTGGAAGCTCCAGGGTTATTTTGAAGCCCGTTCACAGCAGGTTCTGCTCAGAGCACCACCTGCCCTCTGACCCTAAGGTCTGGTGTGGGTGATGACCATGAGTCCCTATGGATCCTTTCAAGAAGTGCACTTCCTTCTTCGTCTGTACCCACACTGATGTTCCTATATCATTCCAGAGAACATTCCGGGAAATCACGCTGCTCCAGGTGAGTGGCCAGGGCCACCTGACCGTTTCCCCAGGTGCAGTTTCTCCAAACAAGGGGGGAAGCCCATACCCTCGCCCAGCAAAGCACACAGCCCCTGGCTCTCTCCTTAGGAACTTGGGGACCATCCCAACATCATCCGCCTCCTGGACGTGATCCGGGCGGAGAATGACAGGGACATTTACCTGGTGTTTGAGTCTATGGGTGAGTGAGGCCTTACTCGGTCTGGTCCAGGACCCTCCAGTGGCCGGTCTCTCTTTGTATGTCCCTCTGCCGCTCGGGTCACCAGTGTCCAGCTCTCAGCCAGCACAGTTTCTCAGTGCACAAGGACAAGCAGCTGACTGAATCTGCACCTGGGCCTGCCAGGACCACCTTGAGCCCACCTGCACAGGCTCCTGCTTTCTCCCCTTTTGCGGCTCTGTATTTCCCTTTTTCTACCCATTTTATAAAACATGGCAACATGAAATAAAGCATTAAAAATAATCCCACAGACTGTTATTGTTGTGCCAACTAAGGCAGCGAGCAGGCCCCAAGAAGCTTGCTGGAACCATGGAGAAGTGGCTGTGCCCAGGACGGGGCCAGGGACAGGGCTTCGAGGGTGGCCAAGCCAGTGGGACTTGGGGACTGCAGTCATGGGAGGACTGACCCCCCTACTCCAAAGTGGGACAGACCTGTCCACGCTCCCCAGGCCCCCTAGACTGACCCGCCCACTCCCCTAGACACTGACCTGAACGCCGTCATCTGTAAGGGCAGGCTGCTGAGGGACGTCCACAAGCGCTACATCTTCTACCAGCTTCTGCGGGCCACCAAGTACATCCACTCGGGACGCGTCATCCACCGGGACCAGAAGGTGCCATCCATGCTCCATTAGCAGGGCCTGTCCTCCCACTGTGTGCACACACCCCTGACAGCCTCGGCGCCTCCTCTCCTACAGCCGTCCAACATCCTCCTGGACTCCAGCTGCGTGGTGAAGCTCTGCGACTTTGGGCTTGCGCGCCCCCTCAGCGGCCTCCCTGAGGAGCCTGCAGGCCAGGCCCTGACAGATTATGTGGCCACGCGCTGGTACCGGGCTCCAGAGGTGCTGCTGTCCTCGAGCTGGTAACAGCATCACTCTCCCCCAACCCTGCCCTCACCTCCCCCCCAGCACCCCCCATATCCTCTTGTCCAGCCAAGGCCCCCCATGTCCTCACTGGCTCCCTCCCCACACCCCAGACCCTGCCCCCTTGAATGTCTCTCCTCCTCCCCCCACCTCTGCCTCCTGGGTCCCTCCCCCACCCCCAGCCCAGGCCTCCACCCCTTCCTGCCCCAGGTACACCCCTGGGGTGGACATGTGGAGTCTGGGCTGCATCCTGGGGGAGATGCTTCGGGGAAGGCCCCTGTTCCCTGGCACATCCACACTCCACCAGCTGGAGCTGATCCTGGAAACCATCCCTCCACCATCCAAGGAGGGTGAGGATGTGTGCAGGACTCTGGTCAGCATGGGGAGCCCAAGGTTCAGAGCACACAACTGTAGGGGGACAGCACCTGAAAGGTCAGGACTGGTAGGGAGGAGGCTGGGGAAGAGGAGGAGGGGAAGGGTCCAGAGCCTCAGGAGGATGGAAAGGCCAGGCCCTGCACATGGTAGGCCCAGGGAGGAGCTACAAGCCTTGAGGGCCTGGCCACGGGTCCTTGAGGACCAAGCGTCCAGCTGGGTCAGGACAAGAGGAGGACAAGAGCTGAGGGGTGGCAGGGGCAGGTCCAGCACCTTTGCTGGGAGGTGGGGAGTTGGGGGTAGGGATGGAGGAGGATAACAGTGGGGGTAGGTAGGCTCAGAGTCCTTCCTAGTCCCCGCAGGAGGGAGCAGGGCCAAAGAGAGGGGAAGGACCAGGTGAGAGGAACCCTGTCGTCCGGCCAGGTCTCTGCTTTCCTGGGTGGAGGTCAAGGGGCTCTTCCATGGAGGAGGAGGTGGAGTGCAGGTGTGGGAGTGAAGGAGTGTGCAAGGGCAGGCACACTGCAGGTGTGCACATGCACGCCTAGGGCAGGAGGACAGATATTTGAGGTTGGAGCAGACAGCGGAAGCCCTGCAGGGAGACGGGCGCCCAACGAGGCAGGAAACCACTGGCCCTACAGCTCCCCAGCTGCCACACACGTGGGACCAGGCCCTCCCACTCACCTCCACCTCCTGTCCTCCCACCTGCAGATCTCCTGGCTCTTGGCTCAAGCTACACTGCCTCCATCCTGCCCTGCCTGGGGGCCCGGTGAGTGGGGCTGCTTAGGGGCCTGGCTCTGGCCAGCCTGCCAGCCCAGACCTGGGCCCCGCCTTCTGATGGTGTCTCAACCTCAGCGTGTGGGTTGCCGGCGGTATGAGGAGTCCCCAGCGTCGCCAGCAGGCCTGAGGGGCGGGGAGGCCCACAGGCACTGCGCAGGGGTCTCCCTACCGTCCCAGGCTGCCTGGGGGTGTTGAGCGGGGAGGACAGTTAAGTGGTGCCCGCGGGGGGGTTGGAAGCCCAGCTGCCACAGCTGTAGATGTGGGGAGGGGCCCCGACGTGGAGAGGGGACAGTACGCGGGCGCCCGCAGGCCGCAGCACACGCTGGACACCCTCCTGCCGCCCGACACGCCCCCGGAGGCCTTGGATCTCCTCGGGAGACTCCTGGTGTTTGCCCCCGACAAGCGGCTTAGCGCAGCCCAGGCCCTGCAGCACCCCTACGTGCGAAGGTAGGGGCGGGAGGGGGCGGGAGAAGGCGGGGTCCCGAGGGCCAGCTCCTCCCCCGCGGGGGCCAGGTGTTGGGGGCGGATCTGAGCTGGTGCGAGAGGCCCGGCCTGACCGCCGCCGGCTGCTCCCCGCAGGTTCCACTGCCCAGCCCGTGAGTGGACACTGGACTCGGCCGTGCGGCTCCCAGTGCTCGAGGGAGTTCAGCTCTCCGCCCCCGAGTATCGCAGGCGTGTCTATCAGGTGCTCTGGCCCCGACCACCCTGGGGGCGACCCCAGAACCGTCTACACCGCGCCGTGCACCTCTGAGCCCCGCCTTCCTTCCCGCAGATGATCCTGGAGCGCAGGGGTGACGGCCGCGTCCCCGGAGAGAAGGGCCTGGGGGTACCCCCCGGGGGGCAGAGCCCAGTGGGCCCCGGGCGCACCTGCTCAAACCCAGGGCCATCCGTCAGCTGTCTCCGGGATCCCCTGCACAGAAGCCGGGACGCAGACCTCAGAGCGGCCCGGGTCGCCAGGGCGTCCACGGTGTGTGACCCCTCACGGCCCCTGGCCCTGCTGGGTGGAGCCACCAACGACCACAGCGCCCGGCTAACCCCGGGGGTTGACCTTCAGGCCCCACAGACGAAGCCTGCGGAGCCAAGAACCTTCCCCGGCAGAGCTCGGTCCCCCTGCTGCAGCCTCCGCCGCCAGGAGGTCCCGGGAGAGGGGACAGGCCCCCCGGGGCGGCGGGGGCGGCGGCGGCCCCCTCGGCGCCTTCGTGGGTAGGTCGGCCGGGAGGGTGTCCCCGGTGCTGCCCGCGGGCTGGCGGCCCCCCCGTGACGCGCCCCTTCCCAGGTGGAGCCCAGCGGGAAGGGGGCGGCGCCCTCCCTGGCCTCGCAGGCCGCCGCCCAGGTGGCCGTCCAGGCCCTGATCCGGAGCGACTGGCACCCGCGCCGCGGGGGGAGGTCGGCCGGCGCGCGGCGGGTGAGCGCGGCCAGATCCCGGCCCCCGACCTGGGGCGTCCCTCCCGCTCCCTCCCCGGCCCCGCCTCCTCCCCCGAGGCGTCCCTCCCGCCCCCTCCCCGGCCCCGCCCCCGCCCCTGACACCCCCCCCCCCACGCTGTGCGCAGGTCCCGCGCGCGCTTCCCGCGGATGCCTCGCGCGAGCCCCGGCCGGGCCGGAGGATGTTCAGCGCCTCGGCCTCGCAGGGCGCTCAGGGTGCGGCCAGGGCGGCGCTCGGGGGCTACTCTCAAGCCTACGGGACCGTCTGCCGCTCGGCGCTGGGCCGCCTGCCTCTGCTCCCCGGGGCCCGCGCCTAGGCCGCCCCTCCAGCTCCCACCCGGCTCTTCTGCGCAGCCCCGGATTGCCCCTAGGTCCCGGTGCTCCCCGCCCCCCCTTTTGCCTGGCCGCATTCTTAGGATCCCTGGAGCTTGTCCGGGCCTCCTGGGGGGGAGTTGAGCTTCCCACCCATCCCCAGTCGCTCCCTCCAATAAAGTCTGATCCATCCCCAGCCTGCCTGCCTAGCTTCTCTTCTCAGTGAGGGACTCGCTCTGAGGCCACACCGCCCCTTTCCTGGAGCCCACCCCCTTCCGAGGACCCCCGTCCAGTGCAGAGCCCATGAGAAGCTCCGAGGGCACCTTCTGCTGCCGCTGTGTGGCTCTTGCCTGCCTAATGCCCTGTGCTTTCTCTCTGAGCCCTTGGCACCAGAGACTGGCCTGGGGTCCCCCTTGGGGCCAGCTTCCTGTCCTCTTTGCACAAATGCCAGAGGTTGGCCTGGTGCCAGAGCACCATCAGAGGGACAGGGCTGTCCCCGGGGTGCACCTGTTGCCTCGGTGCATGCCATCACGTGACAGCATTTGCAACCCTGGCCCAGAGTAAGGGTGGAAGAGATTACAGGGCAGGGCCCTTGGGCACAGCCCCTGAGTGTGGTCATGGTGCTCTTCGCAGAGCTCCACTGTCACCAAGTGACTGGCAGCTGGTTTGTCCAGGGGGTGGGCCCAGGGGGTGGGAGCCAGAGATGCAAGGGGCCTAGTGCACACCAAACTGTCTCCTGGTTCCAGGACTGCTTCCACTTCACCTGACCGGGGCAGGGGCTGGAACACAGGCGGAGTCACGGTCTAAAGGGTGTGGCCTGTGCCTGGGTGGGGGCTGGGCAGCTGGGAGCCCCAGCTCCACTCACCTGTGAAAGCTGCTGCTCCCTGCTGCTGCGGGAGGCACAGGTGGGAAGGGCAGGGACAGCTGGCCAGAGGGTGCGCCTGGACCACGCGGCTACAAGCACAACAGGACTCCGGGGGAGGCCAAGAAAAGAGGCCAGGCCATATGGCCCAGGCTTGGCTTGGAGACAACTGGGCTGCCGGGGGTCAGGTGATGGACAGGGCGCCGAATGAGTGTGAAGGAATGTCCCAGCCCAGCAAAGCGGAGGGAGGGGGCCCCCCCAGAGCCAGCCTTGGGAATCGGGGCCAGGAGGGGGGGAGGGGCACCCTGTGGTGGGGAGGAGCCGGGGAAGGTGGGAGCTGTCTGCTGGGCTTGGTGAGCAGCAGCCCCCAGGGGAGACACCAGGTATGTCTACACAGAGGGCTGGTGCCAGTTGGAGAGTCGTGGACTCGGGCTGTGAAAGGGAGCTGGTCGTGGGAAGGGGCTGAGGTGGAAGGAGTCTCTGGGTTAGACTGGCTGGAGGAGTTGGCAGGACAGATGTGTGTGTGTGTGTGTGTGTGTGTGTGTGTGTGTGTGTGGGGAGCCCACAAGGATTCGTGGTGCTGTCTGGAGGGAAATCTGAGATCACAAGACTTAACAAGAAGGGTGATTAATATATATGTTTAGGAATGTGTCGGAATATCTTGTTGTGTTTTATTGTTAACACCAGAATGTGCAGAGGTCACATTTGAGATGTGTTACTCAGCACAACGTGGAGGGTGCCGACAGGCTGCAAGGGCCCTCCAGGGCAACGGGGCCGCACCAAGCCACACAAAAGCAAAGTGGTCAGCAAGCACATTGAGGCCAAGGAACATTCCAGCACATCTGGCTCCTCGGTGGCCCTTCCACCTGAATCAAAGTATCCCCGAGCCTCCCTGACTCCCTTCTCCGGCTGTCGTCAGAACTGCTGCCTTTGCCTTGTTTCCCTTCCCAGCCTGAGTGACTGCAATTTTATACTTTAAAAAAAACAACCCAAAACTGGCAGAAATACTAATTTCATAATGCTAGCACTTAGAATGGGGGCCTTCCTAAGCATTTGGTGTCAAACTGTGTTATTCCAAATCAAAGTCACTCTCCAGAGGTGACAGAGATACAGGAAAGGTAGGTGGAGGGGGGGGGGGATTAGATCTCACAGGTTGGTGACAAAGAGGGAAGGAAGGATCCAGAAGAGGGTGGAGTCAGGGCCTGCTGGGCACTGAAGCGAGGTGGGAGGGGGCCCAGGCACCACCACGCCCGACCCCACCCTCACCTGTTCAAGTACTAGGGGTCCGGTCCAGCCCTTCCCCAGCGTGGCTAGGGCCCAGCATCCATCCAGACCCGGTTTTATTGTGCTGCAAAACCTGGCAGCTCACCGCTTGCTGGCGCCCTGCAGGAAGCAGCCAGGTCTGTCTGCCTCAGTTCTCCTGGCAGGGCAGTGTCTCAGGGGGCCCCCCACCCCTCTGCCAGGAGCCCAGGGGACAGCGTTTCCTGAGACGAACAACCTTTGGGTCTGACCCCAACTCCATCCCGGATGGCCTGCGAGCAGCTCTACCTCCCCACAGTGACAGGCTGGGCCGCTCAGAGGGGTGCCGGAGGCAGAGAGGAGGGATGCCAGCGGGGCAAGAAGGGAGCCTGAGCACCTGAGGTGGAGGGGGAGACCTGGGCCGGGAGGCAGAGGCGGAGGCCCAGGGAGGGAGGCTGGGGCTGCCAGGACACGGGAGAGAGGCAGCGGTGAGGCAGGAGGCAGTGAGCGGAGGAAAGCCCTGAGATACGGAAGCCCTGAGACATGGGGCCCCACAGACGGGACCTAAGGCACAAAGATGGGCCCTGAGGTGAGTGAAGGGCTAAAGGGGACCTGAAGCCTGAAGCGATAGGGAGGCAGAGGTGCAGGAGGGGGAAGCTCAAGGCACAGGGAGGGATGGGGATGGAGCTGGAGGGGTACGGCACGGGGCAGTGAGGGGCTGGGGCCCCCGCGGGGAGAGGCCGGGGCAAAGGGCAGGCCAGCCCCTGGCTGAGCCCCAGGTGGAGCCGAGCTGGCTGCGCTCAACGGGCCGGGGCTGTGGGGCCAGGAGGCTCACTTCTTGCTTTTGAAGGTGCCCAGGATCTTGGGCATGAACTTGCCCACCTTGCTGTCCCTGGTGTCGTCCTCTGCTGGGCCCTCCCCTGCCCCCGGGCCTCCGGCCTCTTCCTTTTTGCAGAAGACCTCGAAGCGGCTGTAGACGCGCTTCTCCTTGCGCATACTTTCCATGCGGCGGAGCAGCCTGTCGCGGTCCTCAGCGCTGGCAGGCAGGGTGCGGCTCAGCCTCCCCTGCGTCCCCAGGCTGTCCGAGCGGAAGATGGCAGAGCATTTGTCCTTGTCGGACATGTCAGGGGCCAGGCCGCCAGTGGTGGGCGATCGGCCCAGTTCAGGGCTGCTGTGAGCCAGGCCCGGGGCGGGGGCCGGGACCGCGCGGTGTTTCTGGCCGTGGGCGCTGATCTGCTCCAGAATGGCTTTCGTGTCATCCCGCAGGTTGCTGCTGTACAAGGCGTTGGCTGTGGCGGAGGCCGTGCGCGCCCGCAGGCCCCGCTCGTCTGCAGCGGCGGCAGCCTCGGTGCTGTCAGCCCGGCCCAGCGACGGCCGCGGGGGGCTCTCGGGCTGCCCGTTCTCCTGCGGCGCCGGGAAGCTGCCGTCTTCCTCTGCGCGCCGCTCCCCCTTGGGGCTCAGCAGCTGGCGGAGGCGCAGGGAGCCCTTGCGCAGCACCTCCATGGGGCCGCCCGCTGATTCCTCCGCGGTGCCAGTCTTGGCGGACTCCTCGGCGAAGGAAAGGGTGAGGCTGGCCCGGCGCTCGGGCACGGGGGGCACCGGGCTGGCCCGGCGCTCGGGCACGGGGGGCACCGGGCTTGCCCTGCGCTCGGGGAGGGCCGAGGTGGGGCTCCCTTTCCGTTCGGGGTAGGCAGAGGCGGGGCTCCCCTTGGGCTCAGGGTGAGGTGCCTGGCGCGGCCCCTCTGGTGGGGGGCTGTCCCGCCCTGGTGGGGAGCCGGGGCGGCCCTGGGTGGAGAGGAAGCGGGAGGGCAGCCGGTCGGTGCCGCCGCGGCCCAGCGTGTCCAGCAGCTGCGTGGCAGTCAGCGTGGCGGCCCCCGGCTGCCTCTCCGCCTCCTGGTGCAGCCGCTGGGCGAAGGAGTCGCGCAGGTCCAGCAGGCAGCTCTCCAGGCTGCGGCGCTCGCTTCCCCCGCCTGGCGCCACCACCTCCTCCCGCCATGCCTGGGACACAACAGCCTTGCTGTGGCTGGCGACCGTGACCGGGGCCCCCGCCGCTCCCGCATCTCGCGCGGGGCCCTTGTACTTCTCCAGGAGCTCGGCCACCTTGGTGGAAGTGGCGGAGCGCGTGGCCTCGCCCCCGGGCCCCAGCGTCTCGCTGACTGCCTGCTCCTTGTGCAGCAGCTGTGCCCTCTCGGTGGCGGCGGCCGGAGCCCCACCCGCGCCCTCGGCCTGCGAGGCGCTGAAGATCAGGGAGGAGCGCAGGCGTGAGCTACGCTGGATCAGCGGGTTCAGGCGAGAGCGGAAGGAGTCCTGCTTGGCCAGCCCTGCCTCCTCCAGCGCCTCGCGCTCAGGGCTGTCCCCGCGGCCAGGGCAGGGCGCCAGGCCCTTGGCCGGGAAGGCCGCGGGCATACGGGTGGCTGAGGGCAGCAGGTCCCCGGGGCCCGGCCGGCCAGCACAGCCCAGCACGTCGTCCTCGTAGGCCTCGGCGTCCATGGGCACAGGCAGGCCCTCGTCGCCCGCGTCCTCGCCATGGCAGCCGCTCAGGTAGGAGGCGAGGCGCCAGTGCCGCATCCCCGCCCGCCCCTCAGGCCCGCCCCTGCGCTCCTGCTCCGCGTCGGGCGCCTCGGGACCGGGCCTCGCCGCTGCCTGGCACGGGAAGCGCTGGCCCAGGTTGGCGCGCAGGGCCCCACTGGGCTCCAGGCCACGGGGCGTGGGGCCCGGGGCGGGGTCCGAGCCGTGGCGCACCTCGCGTGAGGCGCTGGACGGCACGTAGTCCAGTCGCTGGTGTCCGTCGGGGCCGAGCTCGGGGAAGCGCGGCCCGAGCCCCAGGGCCAAGTCGTCGTGCTCCGTGAAGCCCGGGCGGCCAGCGCGCAGCTTCTCAAACAGGCCCTGCGGGCGCGTGGGCACAAGCTGCGGCTCCCACTGGTAGTGCTGCTGGTACAGCTGATCTCGTTGGAAGTGGCTGGTCTGGAAGCGCAGGTCATCGCCGTGGCTGAGGAACGTCTGCCGCGACACCTGCCGTGCAGCCGCGAAGTTCTCCACGGCGCCCGAGCCGTCGGCGGCCGCGAAGCTGTGCCGCTTGAAGGCGTCCATCTCCAGGTGCCGGGCCTGGAAGAAGGCCCGCGGGCCGGCGAGCTCACCCCCCGCACCCGCCTCGGCGTCCAGCCGCCGAGCCAGAGGCCGTAGCCCCGCATGCAGCTCCAGGGCTCCGCCGGGCATCCGCATGGGCTCCTCCCGGCGGAAGGCCGACAGGAAGTGGCGGTCGGGGTCGACGAAGGAGGGGAAGCCCAGGCCCTCCTCCCGAGATGGTGGGAACAGGAGGTGCGCCCGTTTGGGGAAGGAGAAGGGGGTCGGCGTGCCCATAAGGGGCCCCGCTCCCGTGTACGGGGCCAGGGCATAAGCGTCCATGCGGGCCAGCGCCCCTGCCGAGGGCACCAGAGGCTCGGACTGCGCGAACAGGATGCGGAACTCCTCATCGAAGCTGGAGACCAGCTCGCCCTGGAACACATGCGCCAGGCTCCGGTGGATCTTCTCGAAGGACCACATGAAGCTGCGGGGCGGGTAGTGTCAAGATCAGAGTCGAGGCGGGGGTGGGGCTCCGCAAAAGGGCCCTGGGGTTCTGAAGTGTCAAGTCTGCAAGAACCCGGGTGGGGGTAGGGGTGCTGTTTCGGGGCCACTGGACCCTAGGTGGGGAGCCACAGGGGCCACAGGGCCACCGCGTGGGGCGCACCTGTAGCTCCCGCTCATCACCACTGCGCAGTCCACCAGCAGGAACTTCTCCTTCACGTGGCCCTTGAAGGACTTCCCCGTCCGGCAGTAGTACGTGGGGCCTGCCACAGTGCGCACGCGCAGGAACTGGGGAGGCAGAGGCGTGAGGTCTCCGCGGGGCAGCCCTCCACCGCCCCTGCCCGCCCAGCCCGGCACTCACATCCACGTGGTGCAGGTTGACGCGGCACTTGTCGGCCATGTCCAGGAAGTGCTGGGCGTTCATCTCATCCAGGAGGATGTAGACCGGGACTCGGCGGGCAGCTGCCTCCAGCACTTCACCAAGCAGGTCCACGTCGGTGAACATGTCCATCACCACAGCCACCACCTGCAGGGGGGCGGGTTAGGGACAGAGGACAGACCCCTCTGCTGTCCCCACCATTCTCTAGCTGTACCCGCATGGCCCGGACAGGCCCCGGGATCACCCACAAACGCTGCAAATCACCCTCTAGCCCCTCCCAGGGGAGAGGGGGCCCTGCCAGGGACGGGGAGTCCAGAGGAAAGTCCTACAGAGGGGGTGTGGGGCTGCTGGCGGGCGGGTGGCCCATGATGGAGCCCTAGGCACAGGGCCTACCTCCCACTGGGCAAGGCACAAGGCAAATGAAGCGCCTGCGACACACCTCACACGGCCCTGCCCTCAGATGGCGAGGCTGGGCCCCAGGTCGCCCTACAGATAGCAGCACCCAGGCCCCAGCCTACAGGTAGCTGAGCCAAAGCTCTAGCTCTGCCCCTGAGAGGAGACTGCTGCGGAGGGTGCAGGCAGCAGTTGCCAGTCTTTGGCTCCTGGACCTGCTGCCTCAGCCTCCCTTCGCTGTCTGCCACCTGCTTGGTGGGGGGAAGCCCTCAGTTGGGTCAAAGGAGACTGGAGAGAATTCTCTGAACAATACACCCCAACCAGGAGGGGGGCCCAGCCACCCCAGAGTCCTGGGGCTTCTGGGCACTGGCCACAGCCAAGGGCACGTAAAGCCGGGCAGCGTGCAGTCACCAAACAGTCTGGGACCCTAAAGTGCACTGCCAGGGAGCCCGTGCTGTAGCTTGATAGCTGGAGACACGTGGCCAGCTGGCCCAGGGCTCACCCCTGCCCCCCAAGCTGGAAGTGCTGGTATTTTTCTTTCCCCGCGCCCGCCTGCTCACACTCCTGCTCGGAGGGCTGCCCCCGCTGTCCACCCAGCCCGCGACAGCACACCTGCTGAGCAGAGCGGATCATCCTCCGAGCCTCATCCTTGATGCTGGGGCTGTCAGGCGGTGGTGGCTGCACCAGTGTGGTAACTTCGGTGCCCTGGAAGCCGAAGGTCAGGGGCCAGCCTAGGTCAAGCTCAGGCACCGCCTGGTCTGAGTTCATGGGCCAGTAGGTGCCTGAGGAGCCATCCATGTCCACGTTGGGAGGGCTGCCATCAGGGGGCTCACGAGCAACATGCTGCGGGGGCCGCAAGTGGCAGCTCACGTGCTCCAGCTCCTCGGGGCACAGGAAGGCAGGTGCCCCCTCGGACGCCAGGAAGCGGCTGTAGGCCTCTGGGCCTCCCTCGGCCAGGGCATCTACCGCCAGGCGGTAGTACTCTTTGTAGTGAGGTGGCAGGTACCCAGGTGCCAGTGGGTTGTCCCCCTGCGAGGAGCTCTGGGAGCGGCGGGCCATGTCGGGGTCAGGGGCCTGGGAAGGGGCAGGGAGACACATTACTGGGGAAGGGGCACAGGGCCCACTCCCGACCCTCCCTTCCCCACCGCTGGGTGTAGACACAGTGTAGAAAGGGCGGGACAGTGCAGGCCATGCCTGGACCCTGGGGTGCCCGTAGCTAGGGACACAGACTGTACCCACTGGGCCCCTACGCTCACTGGGACCTCAGCAGTGCCTACACCCTGGTTTCCAGGCAGGGGTGCTAGCTGCACGAAGCCCCTGCTCGGGGGCACCATGTGGCCCCCATGACCCAGGCACTTCTTTGTGGGCCTGTTCCTCCATAGGAAGAAAACCAATTCTTTTAGATTATTGGTATAAAGAAAATATAATCCAGGTGAGATTCTTTATTATATTTACTTTCTTCTGATCTTGGTATTAATGCATTTTTGTGGGCCCAGAATGAAATTGTGTGTACTGAGCAAGTCAGGTGGCTCCCTGGCTGTGCGTGTCGGCAGTCCAGGGGGGTGAGGGGGACCCAGGGCCGCTCATTGGCCCTCTCTAGCCCGTTATCTCCGCTGTAAAATGCAGCCATCAGGGTTCGCCTGATACCATACGTGGCCCCATGTGAGCTCGGCTTACAAAACTTGTCACTCCTTCTGTCCCAGGACTTAGCATTAAATCCACAGCCCTGGCCATACCTGTGCTCGTCCTATGGGGTCACACAGAGCCCCACAACCCATGCATGGCCTTCACAGTCCTCCATACCCTGACCCCTGCCCTTTGTCCCTGTGCACCAGGACCACTCCCTTCCCCTTGGCCCATCCCTCCACCTTCCTAGCCGCTGCTGTGCCACCTTAGATAAAACCTCCCAGAGCCACACACCCCCGGCAGATCTGGGCAGCGGCTGCCCGGCTGAGCCCAGCCCTGTGCCGGTGGTGCTGTCCTCAAGTCTCCGGTCATGCCCTGGTCCCCACTGCGCTCAGGAGGAGGCCAGCACCCTTTGCCAGCCTCAGTCTGGGCTCCAAATGTACCTCCCCATCTTCTCCCCTTGTCCCAACTTCACCCTGACGCCGAAGCCCTGCTGGGTCCACCTGCTTCCCAGCGGCTGGGAGGCGACCTAGGCTGGGAGGAGCTGCCATTAGCTCTGGAAGGCCGCATGGGGGCCTCTTGGATTCCCAGGGAGCATCCACCTACAGTTCCTGAGCTGCCTGGATACCTGGCCTGCTCCTGCCCTGGGAGAGCCCCAGGCACTGCCCACTCCACCCGCTCCTCGGGTCTGGGACTGAGCTGGATTTGCACCCTGCCTAGCTCACTGCTCCCTGAATTTGGTCCTGCCAGGCCCCTGGTGCGCCCCGCTCTGCAGGGGCAGCTGGTTGCTGCAGACTGGCTGGTCAGGGGCAGCTGGGAACCGGATGGGGCTTTGCGTTCGGCGAGCTGAGGGACCTTTCTGCCCACTGCCCCTGGGGGGGTGACTGAACAGGCCGTGGAGATGGGAGACGCTGAGGGAGAGCTGCTCCGCCCTTCCTCCGTCAGCGCCCCACCTCCAGCTACACACAGGATGCCCCCACTGTTCTCGGAGGCGGGCCACGCTGGGTACGCGGAGCAGGTCTGGCTGCAGTGGGGCCTCCCGAGGCACCCGGTCATCATGGGGGTGCGGGGGAGACAGCAAGGAATCTGGCTGTGTGGGGTCAGTGGCCGATCCTGCTCACTGCGTTTGGGACTGAGCGCTTCCCACGTTGGGAACCGCAGCAGAAGGGATCCTGTGCCCTGCTCGGCATTGGGAAGGGGAGTCCATGAAAACTGCCCCCGCTGTTGGCCGTGGGGGTGGGGGGCAGCCGTGGTGCCCAGGAGCCACCTCAGCAGACGGGACCCGTCAGGAAGGGGGTGCCCATCCTGAGATCCCACAGCAGGTGACCCCCCCAGGACCCCACGGCACAGCCTTGCACTGTGACCTGGGCAGTGGCCACGGTCCAGCTCTGACCGGAAGGACAGCGCCTCCTCACACCTGCCTCCCAAAGGGCTGCCCCAAGGGAGGGAGGGGCACTTCTCCCACCCAGGCCAATGACTCAGCAGGAATCTACTCCTTTGCTGCTGACCTCTGACCCCTGACAAATCCTGCAGGGCCCTCGGGGCTCTAGTGGGCCCCTAACTAGGGACCTTCAGGCTTGGCTCCTTCCGGCTCCTAGGAGGGAGCTTTCTAGGGGCTGGGGAGGAGGGAAGGCCCAGGGGTCAAGCACCAGGCGAGGCGACCCTGCCCTGGACAGGTGCTGCAGGTTCGCGCAGAGTCCGGGACGCGAGAGGCCAGGCGGGGGAGGCTGGGGCGGGAGGCTGGAGCGCTGGAGCGCTGGAGCCCAGGAGCCCAGGTCCTCGGCGCGCCCCGCGCCCGCCCGGCTTCCCGCTCCGCCGCGACACGGGCCGCGCCTCGGCCACCGCGGTCCAGGCAGCCCGGACCCCCGGGCGGTGGGCAGGCGTCCAGGCCGGGCCCAGCACCCTCCCGGGCTCCACTAGGCCGCGGGGGCGGAAGCCGGGCAGCTTGGAGCGGGCGGGCCGGCCCGGCCCGGCCCCGGGCCCCTTCCCCGTCGGCTCCCCGCGCCGCGTCGTGCGGGGGCGCTCGCGTCCACGGCGGCACCCGCGGCCCCGCGCCCCCCGCGCCCCCGCCCGCCCGGCCCAGGTGCGGGGCGCCGCGCAGGTGAGGCCGCCACGAGGGGCGCCGGGCGTCCCCCGCCGGGCCCGGCCGCCGCCTCCCGTCCCGCGCGCCCCGCCCCGCCCGAGATGGGGAGGGGGCCCTACCTGGCCAGGTGCGCGGGGTCTCGGGACTGGGGCAGCAGGAGCCGACCGCCGCCCAGCGGCCTCGCGGTCCGGGCGGTCCGGCAGCCACTCCCTGCCGCGGCCCGCCCGCCGCGCGGCCTGATTCACGCGCCCGCCCCCGCCCCGCCCGCCGCTCCCGCCGCTGGCCTGCCCGGGCAGCACCTGGGGGCGGGGCGGCCCCACCCGCGGCGCGCCCGCATTCCGCCGCCCACGCCCCCGCCGCCCCCCAGGCCCGCCGCCCCCGGGCCCCGGCCCCCCGCCCCCCGGCCCCGCCGCCCCCGCCGCCCCCGCCGCCCCCGCCGCCCATCCGCTCGCGGAGCTCGAGGTCCCTACGCTTGACCCCTGACCCTCGCCCCGGAAGTGGGGGGACTCGGAAGTTCCGGCTCCGTCGCTAGGCAACGGGCCAGCCCGACGTGGGGGCGGGGCCTCTCCGCCGGCCCGCGCCGGGGCAGGTGAGGCAGGTGGGGCCGGTGAGGCGGCGGGGGCGGCGCCGGGCCTGGGGACCCCGCCCCCCCCCCCCCCCCCCCCCCGGCACCCCACCCCGACGACCTCCGAGGCCGCCGCGGCCGCGCACTCAATACCCACAGTCCGCGGGATCCCACAGTCCGCGGGATCCCACCGGGCGGCGGCCGCCGCGCCCCGGTACCTCCCCGCGCACCGGCGCCCTCCCTGGGGAGCCCCGTGCGGACCGGACCCCGCGGGCCGTCGGACGCCCCACCTCCCCCCTTGCACGCCCCTGCACCCAGGACCCTGCGCCCGCCACCCCCACAGGCTTATCACCCAGGCACAGCCAACGGCCACGCCCGGGAGACCCCGCGTGCTCGCGGGAAGCCCCACGCTCCAGCCCCGCACCCCGACTGGGCCCCCCCATTCACCGACGCCCTCGCGCCGGCCACAGTACCAGGACCCCCCACAGGCCCATGCCCACCCGAGCGCTGAGCGTGCCCTGCTGGCCCTGCTCCACATGGCAGGGCCCCGTGAGCACGCACCCACCCCAAGAAGTCCTCCGTCCCCCCAGACACTTCAGGTCCTTGTTCAGAGCCCCCGTTCCCCATCAGATGCCCCTTAGGCCTGCCCTGGGGTCAACCGTGTGTCCCAGTCAAGTCTCCTGCCCGAGGCTCCTCCTTCCCCAGTCGGTGCCAGAACCGCTTACTGCCAGCCTGTGGTCATCTTCCTCCCGGTCCCTCTTGCTACATGATCCCATTTTCTTGGTTTCCAGGGTTGCTCTCAGTTTCATTAATTCCTTCTCCAAACACCCCGAGACACCCCAGCACAGAAGGTGGCAGCACACCGGCATGGGGTCACACCTGTGTGCAGGGACTTACCTGTGCAGTGGGGGCGGCCCGCCCCTCCCCCCTGGGCCAAGGGAGGCCTCCCAGGGAAAGGCACCCTTGGGGTCAGCTGCCTGGACTAGGGAGACAGGCATGGCTTCCCGGCCCTGACAACCACGTGTGTCAAGGCTGGAACAAGGGAGGGCCGAGGGCACAGAAGCATCAGGGTCTTGGGTGGGCTGCGGGCAGTGGGGAAGCATGGAGGCTGCCGCAGGGCAAGGTGGCAGCCCAGCCGTTTGGAGCAGGGACAGAGGTACCAGACACCCCGCCCTGGGGGTCACGGTCAGGGCCTGGGGCCAAAGGATGGATGAACCAGGGAGAAGAGGCAGGTGAGCTGGGCAAGGGGCTGAGCTGCCGCCAGGTGTTCTTGCCAAGCATTCCCACGGAAGCTGCTGGGCACAGGTGAGCCGGGAACCTGGGGGACGGGGAGGGGGCAATGAGCAATGCCACTGCCTCTGCTACTCTAAGCACATGCTCCTTGACCTTTCCTACCTGCCTCCAGGAAAATGAGCAGCAAGAAGGCAGGTCCCAAAGCTGCATCAGGGAACTGGCTGACATCCCTCCCCGGAGCAATGCCGGGTGCCGCTGCTGGGGAGTCTGACCCCCGCTCCAGCACGGACTTGGGACGCCCTCTCTGCAGCCGCCAGGGATGCGCTCAGGAGACCCTTCCCTCTGAGAGTGGCTTTCAGGGGACCTCTGAGCTGGGCTCGGGTACGGTAGATGGAGGATTCAGAGTGCAGAAGTCCATTCCAGACCCTGGCCCTGAGACTCGTGCCCCCGCCCTAGGCTGGGGTGAGGGGCATAGCACAAGAACACATGGAGATGGGACGCAGGCCCGTGGGGACAGGGGACAGGTTCTGAGACAGAGCTCAGAATTCACGTTGGGGATTCTCAGGCTAAGCGTGTGGTCCACTCTGACCCTCTCTTCCACCTGGGCCATCCCCTTGCTTTTCCCTGCCTGCGGCTCAGACCACCCTCTCCGTAGCCACTCCCGGGGTGAATGGTGACAGCATGCCCTTGCTTCGGTCCCGCTGTGGGTCAGGAAGGGCACCTCCTCTCACACCTACCCCCACCCGTTGTCCCTCTCTTCTCTGGGTCCCATTTCTTCTCTGTCGTGGCACTCGTGAGTTCTCTGCGACCCTGTCAGTAGCGACCAGGCCGCGGTTCTGTGTCCCTGCAGCACCCAGGGCAGCTCTGGGGTCTGCTTGGAGGGGGCTGCCCCAAGTCCCTGGCGCCCAGGGGCCTCACAGATCGCATGCCCCGCTGGGGGTGGTGACTCCTCTTCCATGCCAAGCCGTGGTTAGACCCTAGTTTCCCAAAATAGCCCCAGCGGCGTCTAAGGAAGCAGCCCTTCTGGAATGAGGATGATGGGCTCAGGGCCGCACGCTTCCCCTGTGATCTCAAGCCGTGGGAACATGGCCTGCAGTAAACAGCGGAGGCCGCCAGGGCCGGGGGCGGGGAGGGGGCACGTTTCTGACCTCCGTCCTTGCCGCAGCCCTCACCCCATGCGCCCCAAACACTGTCCCGGAGGGCTCCGGCAGCTGCCCGCTCCAGCCCCCAGCCCCCGCCCCCAGCCACGACGCCTGGGTCCTCTGTAGGAATACGCCTGCCTCGGTTTCCCCAAGCAAGTGTTCTCTCTGGGCAGTCCTACCTGCCAGGCCCTGAGCCCGCCTGGGAGGGCACCCTGTGTGCCGGGCACCGGCCTCCCCTTGCAAGTGTGAAGCAGGCCCACGGTTATCCCTTGGCCGTCCTGCCACAGCGGTGCAGCCCGCACCTGCCGGCTGCTTGCACGGTCACCACACCCCCACACACTGTCGGAGCCCCCCCCCCACCGCCCCCTTACCTGGCCTTGGGTCTGCAGCACCTCAAGGCCCTCGCTCCGGAGTTGTTCCAGGGCCATGGCCAGCTCCAGCCCCTCCACGCGCACCCAGGCCTGCTCCTCCTGTAGCTGCTGCAGCCACAGCTGCTCCTCCTGCCACAGCTGCTCCCTCCACAGCTGCTCCTCCTGCCACAGCTGCATCTGCAGCTGAACCTGCCGCCGCTGGTCCTCCAGTAGCAGTTGCTCCTGAGCCAGGCACAGCTGGACCTCGTGGAGCCTCAGCAGCTCGGGCCCCAGGCCCGGGGTGAGGCCCCCTGCCCCACAGCCTTCCATGTCCGCAGGGGCGGCTAATGCCAGCTCGGACCCCAGAGCACTGGCCTGTGCTGGCCCCTGGGCTGCTCGTGGCCACTCTGGCTTGGCCACCCTGGGGTGTCCCCGGGCAGCTGGCTTGTTGCTGGTCACGTGCTCCACAGGGGCCACCCCCACCGTGTCCTGGGGGCCCCCTGCGGCGGGGGGCGGGGGCTGCGCCTCAGGGCCAGGCTGACCCAAGGCCTGCTGCACCTTGCCCGCCCTCCTCCTGCCTCGGGGTTTTCGAGCGCGACTTCGTTTCCCCGACATGGCCCCGAGCCGGCGCCTGTCACCCAGTGTCTGCTCCCTGGGACCCTGGCTCATCGCGGGCCGGCCTGGATCAGGCGGGCTCAGCAGGCCTCCCTGGGAGGCTGCGGTGGGCCCCGTGCTCCTGCCCTGCCCCTTCCTGGGGCCCGTGGTGCGCGGCTCTGGGCCCCACTCGTTGGGCTGGGCCACGCCGGGAAGTTTATAGGGACTCGGCGGCGTGGTGGCTCACCCGGGCGCGAGGGCTGACTAACGTGCTGACACAGGGCGCAGGACTTTACGGGCCACAGGCCTCGTTGGCCAGACTGGGAGGGAAACCGAGAGCCTAGAGGAGCAACTCCCGGCAGCCAGATCCCAGCTGCAGCAGCAACAAGTCCCGTCCTGCCCTGGGCGGTCCCCTGCGCCACCCCCGCCCCGCCCTGGGTCCAGGGCAGCTGAAGCCCCGGGGCCACGGCCAGGAGCTGCATCCGGCCCCACTGACCACTGGAGCAGGCCGCGCTGCCCGCCAACTGGCCCGGCAGCCCCAGGGCGCAGGCTTGCCTGGGGGGCCCTGTGGATGAGAGAACCGTTCCCCCGGCCCGGCGGCCTCCTGCTGGAGGCTGGAGGGGGAGACCCGGCCTCGGGCCCGTGGCACCCCGTGGCCTGAGATGGGGCGGCAGGGAGCCGCCGTCCTCCCCCAGAGGCAAGGGCCTTGGGACCCCCGCGCCGAGTACGCCCCAGTGCTGGCGTCCCTGGGCTTCCTGCTGGGAGACCTCGGAGGCCTCCTCCCCAGCGTTTGCCCAGCCTTGGGCCGCTGACTCACACCCACGCCCAGGGCCCCGGCCCCGCCGCTGCCACACTGGCTTGACTGGTTTGCCTAGCGCAGCCAGGCCTGAGCACCCCGTCCTCCTCCCACTCAGCCCTGGTCCCTGAAGGCTGCCACCGGGGGCGCCCGGCGGACATGCAGGGACAGGGGCGCTGGGTAGAGCGGCCCGCAGGTCCTGGGGGAGCCCAGGGACCTTACCACACCTGGGCTCGTGGGAGCCGCGGCTTCGGGGCCAAGGGCATCCTACCTGCCAGGCTCACCAGCACCCCGCCTCGGCACCCCAGGGGCCCACATGCCCCGGGGGGCCCATCCTGGCAGCCCACGAAGGCCTCCCCCACCGCACTGACTGTCCCCCCAGGGAAGCCAGGACAGACCTGCCAGCCACCCAGGAAGGGGGGCCAGCCGGCCACGCGGCCCCCCGAGCGCCCAGAGGCCCCCCCAGGTGAGAGCCTCGGGGCCCGCGGGGATGGGCACGACTTGGGTGCGCTGGCGGGAGGGGGGCTGCCCTGAGGGGGCGCGCTCTGTGTGCCTGTGAGTGTAGGCGGGGGCTTGCGAGGCTGCGTGGGCCTCCCCGGGGCTGGTGGAGCCAGCGGCCTGCTCTCTGACCCGCGAGGGCTGGGTGGGGTTGGCCTAGCACCCGCCTCCTGGGGCGCGGCCTCCACAGGAGGCCCTGCCTGGACACTGTGGTCGTGGGGGGCCGGCCTCTCCTGCTGGGGCTGGGGCTGGCAACGCGGGGCATCACCTTAGTGTCCCACTGGGCCTCTCCTGCACACTGTTGGGTGCCTGGGCCTGGGGCCTCTTCTTCTTCAAGATTAATTGATTTATGGGGTGTGGGGCAGAGGGGCGGGATAGAGAAAGGAAGAGTGGGGAGCACCAGGCCGGACATGTGCCCGGAATCCATAGTGAGCTGCAAGCCCCCAGCCCTCTCCTGGGCGTCCTCACCAGCACATGCCCTCATCCCCTTCCTGTCCACTGTCCAGGCTCCCAGAACTGTGCCCTGGTGACCCTGTGCCTAAGCCCTCATGCCCACAGATGGTCCTTTGTGCTCTGTCTTCCCCTACCCTCCCCTCCTGCCCTGGCCTTGGTCTATTCACCTCCTACTCCCCCCTTCCTTCTGGTCTGTTCCCCACAGAGTGGGTGGTCTCAGCCCTCAGGCACGGGTGGTCTGGTGTGGCTGGTGTTGGCACCCCACCCACACACCAAGGAGCCTGACCTCGTCCTGAGGACAGGCTTGGACCACACAAGGTTTGTACAGTCCTGCCTACTGGTCTTACAAGAGTTGTATATGCCTGATGTATTAACCGTGGTCTGGGTTATGCACAGTAGGACGGATTCTATGCAATGTAAACTGAAATGGAATGTCCTAGAAGGATATTCCGTGATTTGGTCTGGGAGAGGCCGAAGTAAAAGTGGAGGACACAGGCAAGGCCACGCCACAGATGGAAGTTGGAGTAGGATGTCCCTGTGTCACTAGAAGCCAGCGCCTGTGCTCCCCCAAGAGCTATGCACTTGTGCCCTTGGCCTGGTGTTACTTGTTCAAGCCTCCGATTCCTGGAGGGGAGCTGTCCACACTTAGGCCACGCTCTCACTGTCAGGAAGGAGAGATAGACGTTTGTCCCCTACTTCAGTTTCTTAAAGATTTTATTTATTCATAGACACACACAGAGAGAGGCAGAGACACAGGCAGAGGGAGAAGCAGGCTCCATGCAGGGAGCCCGATGTGGGACTCGATTCCGGGTCTCCAGGATCACACCCCAGGCTGCAGGCAGTGCCAAACCTCTGCGCCAACAGTGCTGCCCCTACTTCAGTTTCTGTAGTGGGCCGGGGGCTCCCACCGAATTCCACCAATGGCCTCTGACCAGCAGGGCGGGAGTCCTGAGTCTCAGCGGCTCTCCCCGGTTCTCTAGGGCCCCGCCGCCCGGCCTCCTGCTGCTGCCAGGTTGGGGCTCGGACTGAGCTTCCAGGGGCTGGCAGGCCTGTGCAGGTGGCAGCGCGAGCAGCTATGCCGGTAGGAACCCATGTCAACCACAATCACTGGTGTCCCCACACAGGGAGGGTGTCCAGTGGGACAGCTGCGTGCAGGCCACGAGCACGAGCTTGTGCATGGGCCCCCCTGCTGCCGTGGCCGAGTGGCTTGTGAGCCCTGGAAACGAGTCTTTGTGTCCATTTGCTAACTCAGAGCCTTCTTTGCAGTGGAGACACCTGGTCGGCATCACACGGATAAACTGTTCGCACGCTCTGGGTTTATTCTGAGAGGTCCGTGCAGAGGGGCTCTCTCCCGATCTCCCTGCCGCCACCCCCGTGGCTGGTGACCTGTCCAAATCATCGGCCAGAGCATAAGAGTTGGTATCAAGAAGACTGTTGGGCAGGACGGTATCTGATCTGGGTCGGCCTTGATGAGAGGGGCTCGTGCCGCTGGGCCCGAGTGTCCCCAGCATCCCCGTCACCGCAGCCACGCCATGCACAGGCCTTCGCCTCCCACGGGACAGTTGTGACGTCCACCCTGTGTCTGATGCCTCCTCTGCAGCGGGCCCCCTCTGGAGCCGCCACAGGGAGATGCAGGGCGAGCCCCGTGTGCCCGGGGCTGCTACACCTGCTCCCACCGCGGGCCCCTCCTGCCCACTTGTCTTTGCTGTCCTGGTCTGGCTCATTTCTGGCTCCAATGAAGCCGCCAAGCCTTTCACCAGAGCGCTGGGTGCAGTTTGCCCTGCAGCCCGTGCCACCTGTCCCCTCCGCTGGGAGCACGTGGCCAGGTGCCCTGGGAGGTGGCCCCCACCACTGCCCTTTGGGTCCCCGATGGAGGAGCTGCAGTGGCTCAGGGCAGATGAGCTGGGGCCGCCACGAGGCCAAGCTGTCTGGCGTCCGGGCCGAGTCCCCCTCCCGCCTGCCCCGCGGCGCCGTGGCTGTGGCTGAGGAGAGGCCTTGTACGGAGAGGAGGGGGTGGCACGGCCGTCTGCACCATGTGAGGGACCCGTGCCTTCTGGGCGTTTCATAGCCATCACGCGATGCCGGGAGTCGGGAGCGAGGGCCGCGGGCCGGGCCGGCTCCTCTGGGTGTGCGTCCCCTGCTACAGCGGTTGGCCCCCCGGTCTCCAGCAGGGCCTGGAGGGGGATGGAGCTGTTCCGCTGGGGGAGGCCCAGCCTGGTGTAGGACCCGCGTCTGTGCGGCATCCCCACCCCGGGACTCGCCGGACCTTCCACGGCCGCCCCTCTCTCCATGGATGCAGCCGGCGTGGGGGGCCTGCGGGAACCATTAGCCTTTGGGATCCGCCAGCACCGGGGCGGGCCGAGTGCCCAGATGTGCCGCTCCAGGTCCCAGCAGGCCTGTCCGCTCTGCAAGGAGCTACAACGCACCACCACCCACTTTTCACCGTAGGACGTCCTAAGGAGGCCGGGATTCATCTCCCCGAGAGCTCCGCTCGCCGGGTGGTTTTGCCTCCCACCGCCTGGACCGTCGAGGCCCCCGCGTGAGCTTCCCGCAGCTGCTGTAACAACCAGCGCACGTGCGCCGTTTTACAACAAAGCAAATCCAGTGTCTTGCCGTCTGTGCGTTATGAGTCTGACACGGGCCCCAGTGGTTTAAAATAAAGGCCTTGGGAATCCCTATCCTTTCTGGAGGCTCTCGCAGGGAACTCTGTCCCTCTCCACCTTCTGGATGCGCCCCGGGCCTGGGCTCCTGGCCCTGCGGGAGGCCGTCCATCTAACCCTCCCCGTCACAGCTCCCTGTGGGCTCTCCCACTTGCAGGGACCCCGGTGATTACGGTGGATCTACCCGCACAATCCAGGACGATCACCTTATTTCCGGTCACCCGGTTAGCAGCCTCCATGCCATCTTCAATCTTGATTCCGTCCTGGGGTAACGCGGCACATCTATAGGCTCTGGGAGCAGGACGTGGGCACCTTTGGGGGCCCTTCCTCCGTCCCCCGGTCCCTGAGAGCCAGAGCGCAGCCGTAGTCTCGGGCTGACAGTGAAGGTGTACCACCCGGGTCCTCCCCGTGACGCATGAGGGGAGCGGTCGCGCACCGGCAGTCACACGGCATAGTGCCAGGCCCGTGCTGACCGGCTCCGCACAGCCGACCGGACGAGTGTGCCACCTGTGCAAGGTCTCCGTGCTCCATCCTCTTCCACCATCGCTTGCTGGTTTTCTGCAAAGGCGGGGATCCTGCGGAGACATGACGGGGACCACTGATCTGACTTTCCTCAAACCTGGCTTTTTTTTTTTTTAAGGCTTTATTTTTTTCAGGGTAGTTTCACATTTCCTTCAATTGAGGGGAAGATCCAGAGATTTCCCTCCCCCTCCTCACGTCCAGTGGCCCAGTTATCAACCCCCCCAGAGCGGTACAC